ACAGGCTGTCCGGGAACACAGCCCAGGAACAAACAGAACAAGCTTGTATCTTTTCATTTTACTCTTGGTTCTTACTGTTCTAGGAAAAAAAGACTAGACTGGTGTATCTGAAACGTTTTACTCAGAAAACAAGGAACCTCTGATTTTCTTGGGGAACAGTGAGAGTTGTCACTCTCAAGCATAGATTGAAACAAGGAAAACATAATTTCTGGTTGTGCTAATGGTCTCTTTGAACACCTACTTCATCCTTCCTAGACCTATAGTTGGACAAAATGAAAACTGCTCCCTGATAAGCCTGCCAGGCCTGTGACCTCTCCCTGCCCATTACCGCTCTGTCCTCCTCTCCCGTGAGGTCCCCCTCACACACACTCTGGCATGTGTCTGCCCCAGGCCCTTTGTACCTGCTACTCCCTCTGCCCGGAACACTCCTCCCCATGGTGTCCTCAGGTTTCCCTCCCTCCTTCAGGTCTCTGCTCCAGTGTCACCTTCTCAGGGAGCTTCCCTGACCACCTTCTTTAGAATTGCAACCCCTACCCTGTCCCAGCCCTCCCAACCCCCATCCCCATTTTATTTTTCTCCATACCACGTCACTTTCAAATAGATCATTTCTTTATTTTGTTTACTGTCTACTCCTTTTTTTTTTTTTTTGGTGAGGAAGATTCGTCTTGAGCTAACATTTGCTGGCAATCTTCCTCTTTTCTTTCTTCTCTTGAGTAAGACTAGCCCTGAGCTAACGTCTGCACCAGTGTTCCTCCACTTTGTATGTGGGATGCCTCCACTGCATGGCTGATGAGTGGAGCGGGTCTGTGCCCGGGATCTGAACCCGCCAACCTGGGCCACCAAAGCGGAGTGCACGGAACTTGAACCACTCAGCCCTGGGGCCGGCCCCTGTCTACCTCTTTTTTAATGTAAACCCCACAAGGGCAGGGATTTTTGTCCATTTTTTAACGTTGTAAACCCAGTCCTAGAATAAATATTGAATCTGAAACTTTATAGAGGAGTTTTGTATTATGAATCCAAAATCTCATGAATATGCTAATGATTCCACCCAGCTATTCCACATCTAGGAATTTGTCCCTGGGAAGTAATCACAGATGTGTGCAAAGACAGTTAGAAATGTTACAAAAGCAAAACACTGGAAATAATAAGAGCTGACATTTAATTAGCACCTCCCGTGTGCCAGACCCTCTTCTGAACATTTTACGCATATGAACGCTTTAAACCTCATAACACCTCTATAACCCACCTGTTATTGTCTGGATTTTACCACCAAGGAAACAGGCAGAGGGACTGAAGAGTACGTAACATAGCCGGGATGCGACTTGGTGTGTCTGGCTCAAGAGCCCATATTCTTTTTTTTTTTTTTAAAGATTTTATTTATTTATTTATGTTCCCCCCAAAGCCCCAGTAGACAGTTGTATGTCATAGCTGCACATCCTTCTAGTTGCTGTACGTGGGACGCAGCCTCAGCATGGCCGGAGAAGCGGTGCGTTGGTGCGCGCCCGGGATCCGAACCCGGGCCGCCAGCAGCGGAGTGCACGCACTTAACCGCTAAGCCACAGGGCCGGCCCAAGAGCCCATATTCTTAACTACTCTATGGGTCAAATAATCTATGCTCCGACCATATTGAGACATTCAATGCAACCATTTAAAATGATGGTGTAGACAAGGGATTTTTTTGGTGGGGAGATGGGGGATATGGAGCCCTGAAATTATACACAAATTGTGTGTTCGTAAACACTGCGGGGAAGAAGACATTTTATCAGATGCTCAGAGACATTCAGGAACCAGGGTAGAATATTTCTTCCACATAAATAAATTCGTGTGAATGTATCCTACACGTGGGTTGTCAATGTTGTTTTCAGCACAGACTTCTACAAAAATTCTTTTTAGCTTCCCACCTTCCACCTAAGCTTCCCTCTTCTTCCCCCCAAACCATGTTAACAACCTAGAATGTCACCATGGAAGAATCTTTAACGACTTGGCAAGATCTTCGCGACATATAGTTAACAGCAAAAAGCAGGTTTCTAAAAAATATATACATTATGGGCACATTTTCATAAAAAATTCATATGTACACATATGCACGGTAAGAGGACTCAGATTATGTTAACAGTTGTCATTTCCAAGTAATGGAATTACGAGCGTTTTAAAATTTCTTTTCTGGTCTTGTTTGTATTCTTTACTTTTTTTGCAAGAACATGAATTACTTTTGTAATTAAAGAAAGTTTTTCTTAAAGAAAAAGGTAGCTTTGGGAAGACAATTTGGTAGCAGTCGTCAAAATTTTAAGGGAACGTATCCTTTGATCCATCAGTTCCATTTCCAGGAACGTGTTCTACAGAAATCCTTGCGTGTGAGCCAGAATGTAAACCCAGGGACGTTCACCTAGCACTGCGAAAACCTGTAAACAGCCCAAACCCTTCAGAGAAGGTGAGTCATTAAATATATCTCCATTTTATAAAAAATATGTGGCTATTAAAAAGAAAAAAAACCAAGGTAGGCAGATCTCTGAGAAGATATATTGTTAGATAAAAAAGGAAAGTTACAGAACAGAATGAATAATAAGGTCCACTGTACAGAAAGGCCTCCAGTAGGATTGTACAGACACTGGAAGAGGACTGGAGGGAGGCCACGGGTGTTGATGGCGTTACCTCCAGGGAAGGCACTGGGAGCTGGGCGGGCGGCCTGGGAAGTGATGGGGTGGGACTTGATGTTTGGTTCTGGATTATTTGAATGTTTTACAAGCTGTATATGCGTGAACACAGTATTATTTATGTAATCAATTTAAAAGTACACAGTAAAAATATGAAAGAGTTTTAAAAGGAAAAAAGCCTCCAAACTCCAAAATGTTTTCCTCCCACCCTATGCCACCCACCCCTCTTCCCCGCTTGGGCTGCTCAGGGCTCCGTGTCCAAGCTGACAGGCAGTCTCGGGAAGGGCCAGGGATCTCAGTTACTGTCAGGATTAGAAACAGGCTCCGTCCCACAAGGGGTGAATGGTGATGTACAGACTGGTGCAGCCCTACATCACACCCTTATGCCCTGAGCAAGAACCATCGTCGGGAGGATGTTGGGGCAGTGAGGAAATTGAGTGACAAAAGTCAAGTGGGAAACTGCACGTGCGCTGCTGGGTTTACAACCGGGGGGGAACGGCGCTGCCCAGGGAAAAGGGGGCAGGGCCACAGCCAGGTGGGATTATATTATCTTGACCAAACGTGTTTCTCCTTGGGACTTGCTCATCGCAGTTCTGGAGCCACAGACCCGCATGTCTTCTGGGCTCGCACTCCCCGAATTCAGTGTGACCACCTCCTCTTGGCTCTCTTCACTTCTCTTTGTCCCCACTGCTGCTCCCCTGGTCCCAGGGACCTGCGTCTCCCACCTCCACTATCCAGTAGCCCCCTCTTAAAAAGGTCACTCAGATGGTGTCACTTCCCTGTTTCCCCGTTTCTTTGATAAGAATTCCCTTGCCCAGATCCCCAAGCCATGAATGATCCGGCCCTAGCCCATCTCTACAACCGCTTCTAGCTTCCTTCTCTTGGTCCCTTACTGTGTTCCACCCACACCTGTTTCTGTTTCTGTTCTGTTTCCCACCCAGGGACTCTGCACTCCATCCCCTGTCCCCCACAGTCCCCCCCTGTGCCTGGCTGCTCCCTCGACTCACCAGGGCCCACCGGAAGCGCCCCCACCCCTCTCCCCCGCAGTCTATCACATCAGCCTGTTGACCTTCTTCACGGTTCTATGCTTCATTTCTACTCATTTATTCCCAGTCTCCCCCACTGGCCAGCATTATTTGAGGGCTTACCATGTGCTGGGTGCTACTCGAAACACTTTACGTACAACCCATTCAGTGATCCCCCAAACCCTACAAGATAAGTACGATTGTGACCCCCATTTTACAGATGAGGAAAGTGAGGCACAGAGGTGAGCAACTTGTCCCCAAGTCAGGCAACTCTAAAGTGGCAACACTGGGGTTCGAATGCAGGTGGCCTCAGCCCAGAGCCTGGACCCTTCCGTACTAAAGGATCCTGCCCCAAACCACTAATGAGATGAAAACCCTTGCCTTATCGACTTTCGGAAGATTTGAATCGGCTCGAGGAGCAGCCAGTGGACTTTGTTGGTCACATGGATGCTGGACAGCAGACCGAACCCATAGGACACCCCCACCCCCAAGCTTTTACTCTCGGTGGCAACTTGGGGATGTGATTCGATCTGTTTTTTCCTGCATCTGTCATAGAACAGGCCTAACTGATAGAGTTCTGCTTTTTGTTGACTTGCGAAATAGTGGATCCATGAGCTCATTTCCCTTATGTAATTCTTAACAGGGTCTGCTGCATAAGGGGACCAACCCTAACACTTGTGGAATTGAAACTCTGGCAGTGCCTCTGGTTGCAAAAACTAGGGGACTGAACGCCTATTTGGGTTCTATTTTTATTAAAACCCCATTAACTTGTTTCTATCAGAGCAATTAAAGTGTCGAGGCCTGAAGCTCTGCAGGGCTGTGGAGGAGATGCTCTTCTCAAGTGAGCGGCTGTTCACCGGCAGAGAATTTTCTTTTCAAAAGGACCCCGGGGGTTGAAGTCTCAGGCTTGTTCTCAGCCCCAAGGTGGGTTTTCTTAGCAGATGATATGTCAGCATCCTCTGCAGCTGGTCTTGAGTTAACTGAGGTTGAAGATAACATAATTTCCCTTCTACTTTTTTTTTTTGCCTGATTTTTGTAACTTGAAACCAGCTTAAAGGCTTCCCACCTGCTGCAGCAAATGTTAATTCCTTTCACGCCTTGCAAAAGTTTAAGCACCGCCCCAGGGCGCACGGAGGCCAGGTGTGAAGTTTCACTTGGCAGAGCTGTAGAGATGCATTTCTGTCTCCACCTTGGCACCTTGAAATCAGCCAAACCCACGTGAGCTGGGCCCTGTCATCATACCACACCAGGGTGGGCGCCATCTGCTGGCTGTGGTGTGCCCCCACCACAGGACTCTGCATCTTAATGCTGGGGCACATTCTGGAACTGGACAGTTTGCAATTCAACCATTCAATAGCAGAGCATCTCCTGGGTACGAGGCTCCATGCTTTGTGCTCTGGGGATTCAGGAAGTCTGGGGTGGGGCCTGGGGATTTGCATTTCTAACAAATTCACAGGTGCTGCTGCTGCTGCTGGTCTGGGAAACACACTTTGAGAACCACTGCTGTAGGATTTTGCTTAAATATCACCCCCCCGGAGGCCTTCCCCGACAGACACACACTCACCCTGACTTGGGAAGGTGCTCCAGCCGTAGGCTCTCAGGCAATCTGTATGGCCCCTCCTGGGATCTTGCCTATGGTGATTTAATAATGTGCCTCCACCATCAGCTCCATACACAGGGCCGAGGTCTATATTATTCACCCCTCAAAGGATCTGGCCCCTGCTTCCTTCCCCCCACCTCATCTTCTGTCACTCTCATCCCTGCCCTGTGCTCTCCTGCCACCCAGGCCTGCTTTCCTTCCTCAGCACAGGCCAAGCCACAGACCTCGCCCTTTCCTGCCCCAGGGCCTTGGCACTTGCTACCCTCACTGCCTGGAACATTCTTCCCTGGGCTTTTCATCCAGCCAGCTCTACATCCTAATTCAGAGAGGTCTTTCCTGAACATGCTATTAAAGAAGGTCCCCCCAGCTGTTCCCCTTCCCAAGCCCTTTAATTCAAGTCACAGATCTTGTCACGGTCAGATATAATCCCCCCTTAGAATGTAAGCTCCACAAGGGCAGGAAGGGATGACCATTCCGCTCCCCACCATAGACCCCACGCCCAGCACTGGCACAGAGTAGACCCTCATCTGAGGAGTGAATGGATGGGATTTGTTCCTGTTCTCAGTGACATCCACAGTGGAGGAAGCCAGAAACCAGCCAGGCTCTTATTTCGGCAAACCTCCCTTCCATCAGGCCAGCCATCAGCCGCCCAGCATCCAGCACTTTGTTTTGAGCAAGGAGGTGGAGTGGGGATGGAGGGAGGCAGGGGAGTTTTTGGAAGAGCCAGAGTTGCAGATCGGACACATATAATCAAATCCAGAGGGCTGCACTGTGTTCTGTCAACTGAGATACCCGGGAGGAGCAGGCCAAGGGCCCTGGGGCAAGATGCCATGCGAAGCATCTTTTCCAAAATAGCAACTTGCAATCTCAGGAGGGACCATGAATGGTCAATGACATGAGCAGCGTTTTGAAGCGGCAAGAGGAGTCCTATTTATACTGCAGATGACGGGTATGTGACACAGGCAGAGCTGCGGCCAGTTTTCCCAGAGGATTCGCTGAGGAGTGATGGTATGGGGACGCCCGTAGAAGCTGTGCAGGAAGGGCCAAAAGTGAAGCGAGAGACGCCCGGTAGCGTGGGGGGAAGAGGGCTGCGTGGGGCGCCTGGACAGGACAGCAGAGCTGGGAAGAGCTTGACCTTCAGAATCAGCCGGACCTGGGTTCCAGCCCTGGTTCGCTCATAAACGATAGCTATTATTAGCTATCACACTTAAAAATTAAAAAAAAATTCTTTTAGTTGTGGTAAAAAACATAGAACATAAAATTTACCGTCTTAGCCACTTTTAAGGGTACAGTTCAGTAGTTGGGCAACAGATCTCTAGACCTTTTTCATCTTGCAAAACTGAAACTCTGTGGAACAACTTTGTAATTTTTATTTATTTACTTTCCCCCCAAAGCCCCAGTAGATAGTTGTATGTCATAGCTGCACATCCTTCTAGTTGCTGTATGTGGGACGCGGCCTCAGCATGGCCGGAGAAGCGGTGCGTCGGTGCGCGCCTGGGATCCGA